CCCCCCTCCCCCCTCCCGACATCCAGGAAGTGTCTTTTTCATCTCACCCTCCTTCCTGTAGCTGTGCTGTTTTGGAGGATTACGGTTCTTCTGTCAGGTCATAAGTGGCTTGAAAAATTGGGAACTTATTAGTTTCTATGATTCTCCCTTCTACTTGTTATGTGACATCAGTAAGTCTTTAAAGGGAGGGAAAAGAAAGTGGAGGGGAGCTGATGGGCCCAGGTAGTTGGACTTTATAGAGAAGAAAGGCTATGGGCCTATGTGTGGCCTTGAAGGCAATGTAGTCTCTAACGAATAGGAAGGGAACTTTATATTTCTTCTACTGTGGCTTATTTGGATCCTTCTGGAAGCATCCGTTTCCTTTAGAATATTGTTCTAGATTTGATAGGTAATCAGGCCTGAGATTAAAGTCATGGCTTTATCATCCAGATCATGGTGACTTCTGTTAGGGCAGTGGTCAGTTGATGACCCCAGGTCTATAGCCTTTGAGCATCCTGGTCCTGGCCTTAACTCTAGGCCTTAACATGGCCTAACTTAACCTAGGCTCTGAGAAAATAGGCCAGGGCTTGCTGAGCAAGTGCGTGGCCAACCCTGCATTAAAATGGAAAGGACTCAGCTCCCAGGATTTGGGGGTTTGAGGACTTACCCAGATCCAGAGTGAGCTCATATACCTTCTGAGGAAGGAACAAACTCATCTGTGCTTAGCCAGCTCAGATAGCCTGTTGGAGTGGCCCTTGGTAACAAAGCAGGTCTTGGGGCCCTGGTAGCCCTGACCCTATATGCAGGCTACTTTGGAAAGTGTAAAAGGGTGACCGGAATCCACAGACAGACTTTGTCCTTTGGTTTGAGTAGCCAAACTCGGTATGTTCTAAACTATAAAAGCAGAGGCCAGCAACATAAGATTCTAGAAGGTGGACTTTGTGAACTACCCAGTTGTTCAGAGCACTTCCCCCTCTCCTCCATGTCTCTTGAGGTTTAGCTGGCATTTTCTTTGGGTTCCCTGATATAGGACTGAATCTACTAACCTCTCTGCCCTTTTTTTCTGCTCTTTCCCTCCTTGCAGAAGGAAAGCGAGGAGCCCTTCAGGTTGTGCCTCTGGCCTTTTGGGCCCTTTTTGTTGTCTATTCTCTACCCCTCTCTCCTGGGCATGGTGTATGTATGTGTGGGTGTATGCCTGTGCGTGTGCACGCACATGATCTGTGCCTCTGAGCTTTGGCTGTGCAGATAGGGTTATTTTCCTGAAAGCAGTGTGTGTGCATGCTCCATGCTTGTTTGTGTTCCTGTAGACATCCCTGGAGCACAGTGTGAGAATGTGTGTGCCAGCATGGTGCACATTCATTGTAGCATGTGTGCTTATACTTGCACTCAGTTCGACTTCCCCCAGACACTGATTGCCCTCTTCCTCTCTTACTTTGCACAGTGTGTGTCCATTTTCTACTTGTTGCTGCAGCCTGGCATATGCTGTAAACCCTCTCTGAGCCCAGCACGCATCGGCACTTTGTATTTGAGAGCAAGAGTTGCTGCAGGCATTTTGTGCCTCTCCTGTGGCCCTAAGTGTGAATGTGCTTCTAAGCAGATTTCCTGGCCTCTTTGTGAACACAAGCTTCTGTAGACCTGTGATGTGGTTCCCTTATGCCATGTGAATGCATACTATACTAATGCTCTGTGCCTGCAAGCACTGGTTCTTAAAGACTGTGAGGGTTTGCTTTGCCTGAGATTCGGGCCCTAGTGAACACTGAACCCTCTCCCAAATGAGTGTGCACACATGTTCTATAGCACTCTATAGAGCAGGATCCATGCTCATCTTGTGTTTCTCTCAGGCACAAGTTGTGTCTATGAATGTACCTCCTGTGGATACTTTGTCTAGACCTCCCTTTCACCCCTTCAGTGCCCTGTGTGTGCATGTTGTATGCTATGTATGCAGGCTTCTGCAGACCCATTGTATCCTCTAAGCACAAGAAATGTGTATGATCTGAGACAGTGAACCCTGGCTCCCAAAGACTTTTTGTGACTTTATTTCCTTAAGCCCAGTGGTTTCTGGCAAGCATTTAATTCTAGGTAGGAAATAAAAATCTGCTCAGCACAGTAACTGTTTCCAAAGGGAATAAAAATTCTGGTTGGTAGGATCTGGGGATTTAGGGATGTCCACCACTCAAAGACAACCTTAGGAGACTTGCTTCAGTCACTTCTGGCTGCCTTTTGGGTCTGGCCATTTCTTTACCAGTATCCCACCCACAGAACCGGGACATGAGGTAGATAGGCTTGATTAGAGCACAGACAACATGAGAAGGGTTTTACTGAGAAGGGTCCTAAATCCAAAGTTCATTTTGAGCCTACTGCTGACCTAGGGTAGTTAATGCCAACTTTCGTATCACCCATTAACCTGTCCTACCTCTCCCTTTTCTAAACTCTGTCTTGCCTCATTCTGTCTATAACTTCTCCCATGTTTAGCTCTCCCAAAACTTCACTCCCTGTCCAAAGCAACTTACTTCTGGAGCTCATTTGCTCTGGGATAGTTAGTGGGACCCCACGCTTCAGGTGGCAGGGAAGTTGGTTGTGGTGGAGGGGAACAAAGCAGAGCAGGATGCCCCATCCTGCTAGCACTAGGTCCCTTGAGCCTAAACAGTATTTACCATTGGTTCTCTGGAGAGCCCTGGCAACTTTAGAACTCTGTACCCTGCCAGAGGATTTGCTTTGGGGTTTTTTGGTACAGAAACCTTTAAAAATTATTTTCGACCTGTTTCCTTCCTTGAATTATTTGGTGCCTCAATGATCAACTTCTCATTAGAGAACTCATAAAATTTGCCAGAGTAATAACCAAATGTCTAATCTGTCCTGGAATCCCTGGTAATATAGAACTTATCAAATGTAGAGTATATTCAGTGTCAATGAGTTTGGGCTTCAAGGAACCTAAGCCAAGTCAAATCACAAGAGATAGGAATTTAGAAAGACCAGGTATAACTCTGGGACAGTCAAAGGAATTTAGGAATATAACTGGAAGAAGACCAGACTCTATATGAAGTTGTCTTTTTGCTTTAGTGAGGCCTGGAAGCCTAAGTGGACCTTTTTCCTGGCTTTGGTTACTGATACTAATGGGCTGTGTGAGGGGGATATAAGTTTTGGCAGCTCTCGCAGTCCCAGTGGACGTTAGCCCTGGGATCTCAGTGAGCTTGGCCTTATATCCTTCCTCTTCCCTGGGGGAAGGGGAGATGAAATACTGCTCATTTCAGCAGCCTGCTTGTTGCCTTTGGCTAGTCAGGGCATTGGCTTAGATAACAGGCTAGCTATGTCACCACATGGTGTATGTGACCTACACTTCTCTGAGCTTCCTACTTTACTGCTTAACTGCCTGACCAAAGAAAGCTGGTGGTCTCCCTTCTTTCCTAAGATCTAACTTTTTTCTCTCTGTTTTTAAAGATTCCAGATGATGGTGACTCCTCTTTGCCCCAGTGGCCCCCAGAAGGGTAAGTGATTCCCTGCAAGGTCTCTGTGGATTTTTTACAGACTCTCATGCTGCTTTTAGATTTTCCCCTGGGAACAGGAGAAACAGCTCTACACACTTGATCCTGGGGAAAGATGTTCTACTCTAGAGGTTGGTTGGTTCTTTGGGGCTGAGGAGAGAACTCTGTAAACTGGTTACTTAGAGGCAGAAGAGAGAGCTTTGCCAAGTGGTTCCCTGGAGCAGGGGAGGGAGCTTTAGGGCTCCCCCATTCTTGCCTCTGGAATTTCTGACCCATTGCATCATAGGGTGATACACTCTTCAGGTAGAAGAATGAGGAAACCAGACAAATACCTGCATTTGAAGAGTTTCTTTCCATTCCATTGTCAATAGGGTGGTCACTGTTGATTAGATTTCTCCTGGGCTCTGTCCTGCTTCAGCTGTTGTGAGTCACCCTTATTCCATTTCACTCTAGTCAAGACATAAGTAGCATCCTTTATGAGCTCTGTGTGTTCTGTCTGTGCTTCTTGACTGGGAGTTTCAGACCCATGTGATTGCAGCAGAGTCATTTTAAGCTGCTCAACTGCTGCTTGTAACTGACTAGCTTAAGTGCCTCTCTACCCTCACTCCCCCCACCTCTACTGCCAATTATTTGTCGTTATCTTTCTTCTCTGCCACAAAGGCCTTCTGAGGTTAGAATTCTCAGTGGCTGCCTCCTCTTCATCATGACCAGGGGAGAAAAAAGATCAGATCATAAAGTTATCTGCTACATTTTATGTGTTCCCTTTCCTTGTGATTTCTTTTAAATCAAGAGTTAATCATGTGAATGAACTACTCTTTCTTCTTTTATCAAAAGCTCATCTGTGTTGCAAAAAATTTCTTGGCTTAAGTGGTGCATATTATGGTTTTTAGAATTAGCCACAAATTCATGGCACCAGCTACTCTTCAACAGCCCTTCTTCAGGGCTTTAGCTTTTTTCCTCTAATAATTTCTAAAATACATGCACACCAATGGAACATATCCAAGTTGTTTTTAAATGGAACCATGCAGTGATTTTCTAAGTGCCTCCCTGTTGTTGTCTTTCCTTCCTTCAGCTCAGTTCTTGGAAGCTGCCACAAGGTTAGAACTTCCCTAGGCCTGGTAGTCTCACTGAAAACAAAGCTCACTGCCTGTACTCAGGAAGCGACTTCATTAGAAATCAACATGTCAGGTTGCCTGTTCCAACTCTAGGCCTTGACCCAATATGTGGCTCCATTTTTTGGCTATACAGCTGGCAGTACCTACTTATTCTTCTGAGATAAACCTCTTTTCAGACCAGCCATGGTGTATAACCCAGCCACCCCATGCTTCCCACCCCATTGCTCTCATTAAAACCAAGTACATGAGTTCTTTTCATTGAGACTCAGAATGACAGCTTCCAAAAGGTCAGAGAAATTTTGTAGTTCATCTCCCCAATTTTATAGAAGTGACACCAAGACCCAAAAAGAGGAGGGAATTTTGGCAGAGGACATGTAGAGTTAGTAGAAGAGTTGGGGATAAAATCTCAGTTATTTCAATGTGACGATGGTGTTCTTTTGGGGACATTCTCTGTATTTTTATTGGATATTGTTAAGGAAGAACAGGCAAAGAATAATAAATTAATAAACACAGAAAAGGTATAAAAATTTTCGAAATCTCCAGTTGCTCCAGCTATAATTTTTTCTATTGATGTATCCATAGGGCTAGGCCAGACACTGAGTCCTTTTGCTGTTTCCTTCTAAAATGATATCTTTTTTCCTTTTCTTTTCTTTAAACAGCCTTTTAGAAGTCTCCTATCCCACCTCCCCTGATTCCACTTTATTATGTGAGCTCCTCTTTCCATGGAGACCCTTTTTCTTCAGGATGGAGAAGATCTTGTATATATCATTATTTGGTAGTCTTGTTTGCCCAGGCAGCAGCTCTTCTGTAGAGCTATTCCTATGTGTTCTGTTGTAGCACAGGCCAAGAAAGACTTAGCTTTGGGGAGCAGTGTCTCTGGCCTGAGTGTAGAGAATAGCCCTCTTAACCATCAGTTCCTACCTTATGGAGCATAACGTCCTTCAGATAAACAGAGGTGCCTTGACTATGGGATAAAAGAGCTCTAGGTCCTTGGCTAAAACCGTAGGAGATGGGCACTCTGAAAGCAGATTCCATTGCTTATCATCCCATTGCTTTATTTCCCTCACTTGCTGTCTTCCTTACCCCCCTTAAAGGCACATCTTCCTCTGGGGAGAAGGTGAGCAAGGAGAATGGACAGGACTGAAGGTTCTGACATATTTCCTTCCCTCCTCAGGCCAGCTGGAGGGCTCTATGGCATTGACAGTATGCCAGATCTACGTAGAAAGAAGCCACTGCCACTTGTCAGCGATCTGGTGAGTAAAACTCTTGTGCAGGCTAAGGTTGTATCCTTGCAGTATCCCCCATTGGGCCTTGGAAGCTATCAGAACTGGTAGTGATCCATTTAGTGACAAGTATTGGTCTGAAGACCAACCATTTAAAGACTTACCGAGACTTAGCGATGGCTTCAGTGAGACTTTGTTTTACCTCCCTATTCAGAGCCCAACGTTCTTTATGAGCTCAAGCTCCCACATAGAACATTTATAGCTTGGGCCCTCAAAGCTGGGCTCCATGGTTGTCTTCTAGGTATCTAGTTATTCTAGGTATCTGTACAGCCTTTTTTTTTTGATGACTTAGAATGGAAACTGCCTCTAGCGCTGACCTAGATCATTGAGCTCAGTATGTAATGAGCATGGCTGGTACAACTTCTTCTTGGAAGTCAAGTGACAGTCTCCTCCCAAGACATAAGCTTTCTAGACTCTCTCTGTGCCCCTAGTTCTTAAGTCAGTGTCTAGCACTGAGAGGTAATGATACAAATTTGTCTAATTGAATTGAAATGGGCTTAGGTGTTAAAGCTGGTCTCAGGACCTCCATTTTGGGTTATACTTCCTGAGGTAGGATCAGCTTAAGGAATTTTCCATAGCAGAGTGGATAGTGCGGATAGAGTGGAGCTCAGGATCTCCAGTGGAGCTAGAGCTCTAAGGCTAGATGTTCAGTACGACTTTAACCCTTTTTCTTGTTACCATTTCCGCTCCTATTTTCTTCTCCCTATTTAGTCTGTTTTTTTCTATCCACCTCTTTTCCCATTTCTCCTCCATTCTCTGCTGGTACTCCGCCCCCCCGCCCCATTTCTTTCTCCTTAGTTGGCTGAATGGAACTATCCTCTGCCATTTTCTCTTAATTATTTTTTCTTTCCTACTATTTGTGTATCTTTTCCTTTCTCTTTTTCCTCCTTTCTTTTTTTTAAGTATATCTTTATTGATTTCAGAGAGAGGAAAGGAAGGGGAGAGAGAGAGATAGAAACATCAATGATGAGAGAGTCATTGATCGGCTGCAGCCCGCAACCCGGGCATGTGCCCTGACCAGGAATCGAACCCCGATCGCCCGGATCCTAGGTCGACGCTCAACCACTGAGCCATGCCCAGCCAGGCTGATTTCTCTCTTCTTTATTACCTTTTTTCATTGTCTTCTGTCTCCCCTTTTTTCTCTTTGTTCTTTCTTTTCTCCCTATTTTTTCTCACCCTCTACTCCCTCTTGCCCACCACCTCCTCTTTGCTTAACTGGTTGGAAAGCAGTGTCTTAGTCATTTCTAATTTCCCCTCCTCCATCTTTTAACCTTGCCTTTATTTCACTTTCTGGCATAACTCTTCATAGAGTAGAAGCCTTAGACCTTTGGCCATAGCCAGCTGTCTGAATTGAAGACAGTTTTTAGTGGATAGAGGCAGAAGGTTTTAGAATGTGTTCCCCACATTGCACTATAGGGAAGAACCTCTCAGTTGCCTCTGAAGGTTTTTTTTGTTTTATGCCCTGGGGGAGCTTTAACATCATGTTGTTCCTTTTTCTGCTTTCCTCTGCACAGGCAATGGTGAGTGTCTCCAGAGTCCTTTTCTAACCTCTGTAAGAGTACATATCTCAAACTACCTGGCCCCTCCTAACTGTTCCTTCTGCTTAGACTGATATTTTAATTCTTTCCTCCCAGTGTCCACTGCATTAGGGAAACTATGTGCCTCTCCATGGGCTGCCCTTAAAGCTTGGGCTCAGCATATGTGGGACCCCTCTATATAAGAGCCTGGCAAGCAGGGCAGCCCTAACTCTCATACTCAACCCCTTGCCCTGCTTGATTTGACTGAGGGTACATTGCCTCTTTCACTTGTCTAGTCCCCTGCTCATTTGAGCTGCTGACCTCTACAGCCACCTGGGATTGTGTGGGTGTGGTGTGGGGATGGATGATAGCATGGGATCATTCTCAGGATGGTTCTTGAATGTAACTATGATAGAGTTGTGTGTTTATTCTATTCTTAATGACCTACTTCCTACTGTAATTCTAAACTCTTCATTTTTCTTTGCTTTTCCATAAACAAGGGGTAAGATACCTAAAAATAGTGAAGAAAGAGAAACTCTTTGGATGATAGGTACCCTGAGAGAAATGCTGTTCTAATATTGTTAGAACAGTCTTCTGAGGACCTTGGGTTTGGATCTTAGCCTGGAATGCTGTTATCTATTACCTGTGGGCAGTCCCTGTGAATGATGGTAAAAATAGAAGGCAGTAAGTTATAGTCGGTTTGCTTTGGTCACTGAAACTCCCTTCCCAGGACTTTGTCAGTCCTTGGTGGTAGCCAGGACTGAGAGCAGGTCTTCTCTTACAGTCATTGGTCCAGTCCCGAAAGGCAGGGATTACTTCTGCAATGGCTACCCGCACCTCTCTCAAGGATGAAGAGCTGGTAAGTGACCCAGGGGCTTTCATGAATCCATTGGCCTAAAGATCTAGCCATCTACTGCTGATCATCTCTATAGCCATACTAATTGAGAATTCAAGAGTATTGGGCATACATCGTTAATGGAACAGATAGATAGCATTGGGTCTCAGTCTTCCACACTGGGAAAGGCAAGGGTCCAGGCCAGGGGTAAACCCAAGTCTTGTGTGAGCATGTGACCACTGAACTTGGGGTATTATAGTGGGTCTGGTACCCCCTGTTTCCCAAGAAAGCTTGAATGCTGGGACAAGGCTCAGACCCAGTATTCAGGTGAGACCTGTCTTGCATGACCAGGAGCACAGGACATTTGGGGGCTTCTTTCTGCCAGGCTGGGCTATGTGCTGGGTCAATCTAGAGCATCTTCTCCACTACCAAGGGGAAGCCTGGGTCTTGATTGCCCGACAAGGTCTCAGTTCTGGTATCTCCCGGCGGAGACCTAAAGTCACTGGTGGGTATGTGTCTTTCAGAAATCCCATGTGTATAAGAAAACCCTACAGGCCTTAATCTACCCCATCTCGTGCACCACACCCCACAACTTTGAGGTCTGGACTGCCACTACCCCAACCTACTGCTATGAGTGTGAAGGCCTGCTCTGGGGCATTGCCCGGCAGGGCATGCGCTGCAGCGAGTGTGGAGTCAAGTGCCATGAGAAGTGCCAGGATCTGCTCAACGCCGACTGCCTACAGCGTGAGTGCTCCTGCGGAATGTGGGGTGGGGAGCATGGGCAACAGGACCTCTCCAAAGTAATCTGTCAGCCAAGAGCTAGGATGGCTGGACATCATTCCTCCAGTCTACCTGATTCTGAAGCTCTTTCCTTTTCAGAGAATGTAGGATCCTGAGTCAAGGGGCATTGCCTTTCCAAATAACAGGTTTTATAACACCCTCTTAAGCACCTTTAGGAAGAATTATTTGAGCTTTCTGTGGCCCTTTGGTGGAACTAGAATCTCCTCAGGATTCAGATGATCCCAGAGGCTGCTCTTGAGCAGTGTACACACCACAGTGACCACAGTGCCCAGATGGCTAGAGCATGTTTAATTGGGGACCAAAACTAATGAAGAGAGAGAATTTTGTGAGGTTCCAGCCTTTGGAGAGGAACTTCCTGAGGTCTAGACCCTAGGATCCAAGAAAGGAAGCATTTATTCCTTGCTTATAGATGCAGCTTTTAAACAACAGTGCCAGGAACAGAAGTTTCAAATGGATCAGGCAGAGGTCCTGGAGGAGAATGTGTTAGAAACCCAAGGCCCTGACTAAATATGTGTTCTTTGCTGCCTTCATAGGGGGTGGGGGAAGGAAATATCTGTCTTGTTTTTGTTTTGGAGGTGGTAGCATTCCACATTCTTGTCTCCTTGCTCTGCTCCTGCCAGACCCAGGGGTGGGGATTGGAAAAGCAGTTTCTCACCGCTCCAGGTGTCACTCAGAGCCAAGCCATAGCAATGAAAGCTTTAATGATTATGGTAGGAGAAAGGAACGTCACCTTTAGGCTCACAAGCCTTTCATTATCTCAAGGAAAGATATGTGACATAAAATGGACCTAGGAAGAGGCCTTGAGGAATTATTCACTTAAAATGTCCTTCTTTGAAAACTATAGGCAGTAAAATTTCGGACAGCTCTCATAGCAATATTTTTTCTGATACATCTCCTTGGGCAACGAAAACAAAAGAGAAAAATAAACAAGTGGGACTACATCAAACTGAAAACTTTTTGCACAGTAAAGGAAACCATCAACAAAATAAAATGAAAAGCAAAAGAGGAAAAAAAGAAAAAACTATGTTCTCCCACTGAATAAGAGAACATATTTGCCAATGATACATCTGATAAGGGATTAATAACCAAAATTTATAAAGAACTTGTAAAAGTCAAAGTCAGAAAACCTAAATAATCCAATTTAAAAATGGGCAAAAGACCTGAATAGTCACTTCTCCAAAAAGGACATACAGATGGCCAATAGACATATGTAAAAGATGCTCAACGTCACAAATCATCAGAGAAATGCAAATTAAAACCACAATGAAATACCACCTCATACCTGTCAGAATGGCTATCATCAATAAATCAACAAACAACAGTGTTGATGAGGATGGGGAGAAAAGGGAACCCTTGTGCCCTGTTGGTGAGAATGCAGACCGGTGCAGCCACTGTCGAAAGCAGTATGGCGTTACCTCAAAAAATTAAAAATGGAGCTACCATTTGAACCAGCAATCCCACTTCTGGGAATATATCCTAAGAATCCCAAAACACCAATCAGAAAGAATATATGCACCCCTATGTTCATAGCAGCATTATTTATAATAGCTAAGATCTGGAAACTGCCCAAGTGCCCATCAGTAGATAAGTGAATAAAAAAAGCTGTGCCACATTTGCACAATGGAATACTATGCAGCTGATTAAAAATAAAAAAGAAAGAAAGAAAGATCTCACCCTATGGGACACCATGGAAAAACCTGGAGAGTATTATACTAAGCGAAATAAATCAGTCAGAGAAAGGCAAGTACCATATGATTTCACTCATATGTGGAATCTAATGAGCAAAATGAACTGACAAGCAAAATAGAGACAGACTCAGATAGAAAGCAGGCTGACAGCTGCTGGGGGAGAGCAGTGGAGTTGGGGAGCTGGAAGGGGGTTGGTGAAGGGATTGAACAAAAAAGAAAAAAAAGGAAAAACTCATGGACACAGACAATAGTGTGATGATTGCTGGGGGCCGGGGAAGGAGGTGGAGGAGGGTATAGAGAGGGTAAATGGTGATGGAAGGAGACTTGACTTGGGGTGGTGAACACACAATGCAGTGTACAGAGTATGTGTTGTGGAATTGTGCACTGAAATCTGTATAATTTTGTTAACTAGAGTCACCCTATAAATTCAATAAAAAGGAAAAATAAATAAAATACAATGCCAAAAAAAGAAGAAGAAAAATGTCCTTCTTTGAAGAGCCCTAGATTGGTGCCAGTGGCATGACTACAGTAGACATGAAGAGACAGGTAGAACAAATCAGTGGAAGAGATGGGGCTCTGAAAAGGTGGCCTGAAGATGACTGCCCAAACCCATCACGAGGGGGTGTCAGGCACAGGTGCCAACAGGTCCTTGCTTTAATTGCTAACAGCCAAGCTGGTTGCTTGCTGGAAACCTTCTGAAATGCTGTGTAAGCAAGGGTGTCAATCATCTCCTCAAGGGCCTTTCAGAAGTTCCAAGCCAAGGAAATAGCGTTGCATGGGATATACTAAATGGATGCAGCCCAGGTCAATTTATCAGCAAATATCTTCTACCTAAGTATTCTATAAAGCATAGTGTAATGAAATGCCCTTTTATGGGCCTCCCTGGACAGAAAATCTGCTTGCCATCCTCCCAGGTTTACGATGCAGATGTTGGCCTTTATTTTTTGCTCCAGGTTTTGTAGTAAAGGCCTAAGCCTTTGGAGACTAGAGAGAGGTAAGAGCCAGTCTGCAGGGCCAATAAAGCTGAAGGATGGTTTCTAAGAAGCCTGGTTGATGAAATACACTGGAGGAGTCTGTTCTTTCATAATTCTTAGGGCATCAGGGAAAGCCTGCTAGTCTTTGAGATGAATTGGCTAGGGTCACTGCCAGTGATGATGGCCTTCGCCATCCTGCTAAGATAATGATGGTAGTAATAATAATAGTGACCATTTATTGAGTACCTACTAGGTGTGAGGCATTGGGCTAGATGCTTTATACGTGTTGATGTAATGCTTCATACCACCCTGAGAGAAAAGTGCTGTTTTCTTCTCTTAAAAGAAACCAGTTTACCAGTTTACTCAGCTAGGAGTAGTGGATTCAGGATTTGAACTTAACTCTATCTGGCCATACTTTTTTCACCATACCACACTATTTTCTGAGATTAAAGGCACTGGAGCCATGGGACAGAAACTGTGTGCTGTGACCAGCTCTGGGGTTTGTATCATAGCTCGGAAGTTGGATGAGATTGGTGGAGATGTCATGCCCACCCACCACCCCTCTATGGTAACTGAGCTATCCCTTGGTGATATTTGAGCATTAGACTTGAAAGGTGTATCTCTCTCAACCACCATGTAAGTGGAAAAAAGACAAAGCCAACTGCAGTCTGAGCTACATTTTTTTGTTTCCTTATTTTTTGATGAAAAATTTAATATATACCAACATAGAATAATATAATAAACCCCCCATGACATTTATCAAGTTTTTACTACCCTTTGCATTGCATTTTGTTGTGCATTTTTTTGTTTTTATAGTTTTTAAAATATATATATATCTTTATTGATTTCAGAGAGAGGAAGGGAGAAGGAGAGAGTTGAAATATCAATGATAAGAGAGTCGTCATTGATTGGCTGCCTCCTGCATGCCCCTTACTGGGGATCAAGCCCGCAACCTGGGCATGTGCCCTCACCGGGAATCGAACTGCAATCTCCTTGATCCTAGGTCCATGCTCAACTGCTGAGCCATGTCCGGCCGGGCTGAACTGCATTTTATTTTTTTATTTTATTTTTAATTTTTAAATATATCTTTATTGATTTCAGAGAGAGGAAAGGAGAGGGAGAGAGAGAAATAGAAACATCAATGATGAGAGAGTCATTGATCAAGCCCACAACCAGGGCATGTGCCCTGACTGGGAATCGAACCCCGATCGCCTGGATCCTAGGTTGATGCTCAACCGTTGAGCCATGCCTGGCCAGGCCGAACTGCATTTTAAACTCCAGCAGTCCTCATAAGTGATTCGCTTTTCCCAGGGATATCCCAGTCTTCCTGAGCTTCTCCCACTCCTCAGTGACCTCTCCCAGGCTCCATTCCTCAGCCTGACCCTTAATCTTATAGATGGCCTGTTGGTTACTTTACTTTCTGTCTCTTGCCATCCTTCAGGGGCTGCAGAAAAGAGCTGTAAACATGGAGCTGAGGACCGGACCCAGAACATTATCATGGCCATGAAGGACCGTATGAAGATCCGAGAGCGGAATAAGCCAGAGATCTTTGAAGTTATCCGGGATGTCTTCACTGTGAGCAAAGTTGCCCATGTGCAACAGATGAAGACAGTGAAGCAGAGTGTGCTGGATGGCACCTCCAAATGGTCAGCCAAGATTACTATCACTGGTGAGCAGGCCAAAGTGTGAGGAGACAGGAAGCCCTGGGCTATGGGGAGGAGCCTAGGGAAGAAGTCACCTAAGTGTGAGGGAGCAAGGGGCTGGGGAGAAAGAAGACAAAACTGAGGGAAAGAGGAAGGGCCTCATCATGAGGCCATGGTTCTAGGGGGCTGGGAGAGGTAAGACTGGCACCTATAAACAATATGAGTGATAATAGAAGGATTTGGTAACAATCTGATATTAAAGACATGGTTAACAATCTGATAGGAGCTGGGGGTTGGAAAAAGGGGACTGGTAGGAGATCAGGGAATAGTTAACCAGTGGTTTATTAGCTGAGTGGTGTGGTTGAAGCGTGCATAAATCAGAGGTAGTAAGGAACAGTTCAGGGATAAGTGGTCAGGGTTTTGATGGGGAGCTTGGATTCTTGGACTAGGCTTTGAAGGAAAGGCTAGTGGCTTAGGACAAGGATAGATTTGGAGGAGTGAGAAGATTAGGGTTCCTGTGCAAGAAGCAGAGAGAGGCTTCTCTAAGATGGAGAACATATGAGTCCTGCTATGGAGGATTTCTGACTTCTGGGGCATACTCTGAAGTCTCCTCCTCTTTGTATTTGGGTTGCAGTGGTGTGTGCCCAGGGCCTACAAGCCAAGGACAAGACAGGATCCAGTGACCCTTATGTGACTGTTCAAGTAGGCAAAACCAAGAAGCGTACCAAGACCATTTTTGGGAACCTGAATCCTGTTTGGGAGGAGAAATTCCATTTGTAAGTCACAGAGGTCTTTGTCTTACCCGGGATTATGTGTATTTGGGGAGCAACATTAACTGTTAACTGCTTGGCCCCTAAGAGGGATTGGACAGAGGCAGTGGAGAAAACCCATTTCTCACATGCTTTAGTTGGGCAGTGGACATTTTTTTTCTGGTTCTCTTCTCATGGACTGTTGTATCAGGATTACTGTACTCAAGCCCTATCTTAACTAGGGTTATTAAAGGGGCCTCTGGACACTTCATACTGCTTTTTATAGCATTAGAAAGGTTTTACTACTGCTCAGTGACAGAGCCAGGGACTGACCACCCTGTTGTGTACCTCCCAGCACTGCCACCCTGCCTAGGAAGGGTTAGGGTCTTCTGGGGAGTGGGGAAGGAATGTCCTTGTCCTACAACTGGATAATTCTGGCTTGAAGGAAGAAAACTGTGGTCTGGGGAAGTTTTCAGTTCACCTAAAAGGGTTCTGCTTTTCTTTCTGCCTCAGCTTCCCTTACCCCTACCCCACTAATTCTTTTTTTATTATCTCACTTTATTAGACTGTTTTATAACATAGTAAGGAGTGGTTGTTGAAAGCTCTAGCCTGGAACTTGGACAAATATCTGGAGAATCCAAATACTTTGTCACACCCCTAAGGTCCAGGACCAGGACTTTGAGTCTGAATGAGCGAAGCAGGCTGGCCCTATAGAGACCTTCTGTTGGCTCCTTGGATTGGGGCCTAGTAAAATCATTCTCCAATCCAGAGGCAACAGTTACTAGAGGAGCACTTGTTTCTTTGAGAATTTGAATGGTTCTTGCTTGAATCCATATGATTTATTCTAAATGAATTGACTCTTGTCAATTTTTCCCACTTTTATCCATTTAGTAAGCCATTCATCAAAGCCCTTGTTCTGCACAAGACACTGTACATGATGTGAGTTAGACAGGCAGTCCCTGGCTTCAAGAAGCTCATTGTTGATTTATTATTTTTCAGTACACCAGTAGTTATACTATTATATTTTAATGAATGTACAAATATATTATGAGAGGACAGAGAAAGGAGCAGCAAATTCTACCAAGTACAACCTTTGGGTGAGACAACAGGACCCAGAAAGCACCTGTTTGGGGAAAGTGAGATGGAGGGGGATCCTGGGCAAACTCCCTTCACCAAAGCAAACACCAAAGAAGAAATGACCATTCAAGTGGGTATTAAAGAATGATAGAAGTTCACCAAGCACATACTTAAATAGATGGAGGAGCTAGATAGAAAGCTAAGCAGATATGACAAGGTGGACATACCGTGAACATTAACACCGTTACTAACTCTGGAGAGGGAACTAGCAGTTGCTTCCTAGGGCTCTGCAGCATCCATCCAGCTGTTTTCCTCTTGGTGCTGTTGATACAGCTAGCTACACAGGAAATCAGAATTATCCTTGATTACTTCCCCCCCCCTTTTTTTTTGTGGTCCCAAGGCAACAAGGACTGGATAATGGTACACAGAGCCACCAAGAATGAAGAATGAACAGCCATTTGCTGGGATAGCTTGACTCACTTGGAGCTTTAGTACCACTGTTCTCTAATTCCTTCTCTTCTTCTACAGGGCCTCAAGTGTAAATGAAGCTTTGGGAGGGAACTGGAATGGGGGCTGCTGGGTCTGTACCTAACAGAGCCTGCCTAATTCTGTCACAGTGAGTGCCACAACTCTTCTGACCGCATTAAGGTTCGTGTGTGGGATGAGGATGATGACATCAAGTCAAGAGTAAAGCAGCGGCTGAAGCGAGAGTCTGATGATTTCCTTGGCCAAACCATCATCGAGGTTCGGACACTGAGTGGCGAGATGGATGTCTGGTACAACTTGGGTGAGGAAACAGGACCAGAGAAAGTTGGTGGGAAGGGAATGAGGAACTTGGGGAAAACCCTGTCTCCCAAAACTCAATCGCTAAAGCGTACCTGTAGACAGAACCTGCCTTACCTGCTGAGAAGTGACCATGGGTAGAGATGGGGGACAGAGGAGTGGGTGTGGCAGGAACTCACTCTGGCTGGATGGCCTCCAGATTTCAGAAAGCCCTTTAATCTTCACACTCATCCCAGTGCCTTTAGCTCCCTATTCTGCTAATGGAATAGGAGAATTCCTATTGGAAATATTTGGGGTGTTTGTGGACTATGTGGTCACTGGAGTGAGTTCATCCTGTTAGGTGACCGCTTGGGTCAATACCCAGGGTGGGGACTGCCACACTGTCTGTAGTTGCATTGGTATCAATCTCCAGTCTCCTTTCCTTCCTAGAGAAGAGGACAGACAAATCAGCCGTCTCAGGGGCTATTCGACTACAAATCAGTGTGGAAATCAAGGGGGAGGAGAAGGTAGCCCCGTATCATGTGCAGTATACGTGTCTCCATGAGGTGAGCAAGACCTTGGTAGATGGGGTGCCAGAAAGCAGTGCTGGGAGGGGCCTGTGATAATGAATAGGATTGCTAGGTGGTTGAAAACTTGGGGCTTGTTTTTTATTTTATCCTTGGCTAACTGTGCTATTGGACAGCCTAAGTAACAGCCCCAGCCTCAGTTCTCTTTCACAAATGTGAAAACAGCCTACTGGGGCCACAGGAGCTACTGGGTGATGACTTGAAGGGCAAAATTTCTGTGGAACCCTGGGCTTTGACACCAGATTTTGTTTTTGTTTTTAATATATATTAAACTCCTTTCTTTGCTCTGTCTCCTGCAGAACCTTTTCCATTACCTCACAGACATTCAGGGCAGTGGAGGAGTCCGGATCCCTGAGGCCCGAGGAGATGATGCCTGGAAGGTGTACTTTGATGAGACTGCCCAGGAAATTGTGGATGAATTTGCCATGCGCTATGGCATCGAATCCATATATCAGGCCATGACGTGAGACTCCCCTGGGGCTTTGGGTTGTGGCTACTAACCCCTAAGGTAGCTAATGAAGGCACAATGACAGGGTAGACAGGTCCTTAGCAGGGTAATATCAGTGATTCACTGCTTTCCTCTCACTGCTTTCCTCTCTGAGGTGGGTATATGCCCCAGGGCAAAAAGGGTATACCTATAAAGGGAATGTGTTTATCAGTGACTCAGGAAGAAAGTATTTGTCTGTCTTCCCCAGAGTTCAGACATAAGAAGGGAAAAGGGCACAGGAGGGTATGCAAGGACAAACCTGCCTAAACATCACAGGCCTGCGGAGATAGGGCATGTGTGTTCATGTATATGTATGTGACAGACCAGCTTTCTTAGGTTGGTGTGGATATCGGAGAGGGCACTTAACTGTAGGGAAAGCAGCTGAGTCTGGAGTTGACCAAGACTCCTATAACAGAAATTCCCATCTACTGTGAGAAGAGTGTAGTTTGTGTATTAGTGAGGCTGCACAGAAAGCAGCCCTAGGTAAGCAGAGAGTAGCTGTTGCCCTGGCTGTGCTCATATATTCTGCAAACTTTTATTGAATTCCTTCTATGTGCCACACATTAGGTGCTGAGAACACAAAGATGTGTATATTAGGGCCTCTGTGCTTGGGAACTCATTCTAGCAGGAGAGACAGACCAGTAAACAAACAATTACAAATATAATATAAGTGGTATGGTAGAAGTAATCACAGAGTATTATGAGAGCATCTGAATTTTAGGGGAGGCTTGTGAGGGAAGCCATTAAAGAGTTGACACTTGAACTGAATCTTGAAATACAGAAAAGGAGGGAGGGCGTTTTTGGTAGGGCATTTCCTGAGGTGCTACGATACATCAGAGCATAGAACATTCAAGGAGTTACAAGAAGTTCAGTATAGACAGAGAGAAGAAATATGGTGAGGAATGAGATTTAAGAATGGCCCTGCTGACATTCTTACTCTGTTCACTCTCCCTAGATGATCTTATCCCAACCTGTGACCTCAGCCACTACTTTTGGGCTAAGGGCTCCCAGATCACTTTCTCCAAATCACGCCTTTTCCTGAATATCAGATCCATTTTCAGCTGCTTCCTGGGTATCCCCACAGGCAGTATAAACTCAGTGTGGCTAAATTCCAAATCAACATCAACCTCCACAAATATGCTTATCTTTCTATATTCTCTGTTTTAGTAAGTGGAATGATTTTCTATGCAGTTGTCCAAAAACATTTAGGAATCAGCCTAAACTTTTCTTTCTTACTTACTACTGTACCTTTAACTCCCAATATCCAATCTCTAAAACCTCTAGATTCTATCTCCCAAAAATGTTTTTAATCTATCACTATTACTATAGCTCAACAATAATGATGATGATAATAATAACAACTTCTATGTAGCATTTCCTTATGTACCAGGCACTAGTTTAAGCACATTATGAATGTTAACTCACTTAATACTCATAATTAACCCTATGAGGTAGGTATCATTATAAACAGACATAAAGAACTTTTAAGTAATTTGTCCAAGGTGAGTGAATGGTAGAGGTGAGATTCAAACCCAGAATCTGACTCTAGAGTGTGTGCTCTTAACCATTTTTCTGTTCTATTTAGTGCTTTATTGCTTCTTTTCTGAATTATTGCAGTAACTCTTCAACTGATCTTTCTGTCTTATTCTTATCTTTGTCCTAGTCTTCTTTCCAATTTATCATCAAAGGGGCCTTTCTGAAAGACTAATCTGGTCACACTATGCCTTTGCTTAAAAATTTACTATAGCATTTAGGATAAACTCTTTTATTATCTATTCTCTACCTACTTCTCTCTCATTTCTTGGTATTCCTCTATCAAACACCTGAACAATAGCCAACTGATGTTTCCCAAATAAATCACTCTGTCATGAATATCTTTGTCTTTCCAATGCAATTTCCCCTTGTCTATACATTTCTCCATTTGATTAATTCTTACTAATCCTTTAAGGCTTATTTCAACCATCTCTTCTTTGGGAAGCCTTTTTCTAATCCCTTCCAATCCCCAACCATTCTGATTTAGGTGATTTTCCTGTATGTTTCCACAGTGTTTTTGCATAGCATACTTTGGATTATTGACTTACTTTCTAACACTTGTTTTCTTTGCCAAGCTATCACATCTTTGTTTTTTTATGTGTTTTTTAATCTTCCCCCGAGGATATGTTTATTGATTTTTTTTAAGGACGATGGAGAGAGAGAGAGAGAAACATCGATGTGAGAGAGAAACATTGATTGGTTGCCTCCAGTATGGGGCCCTAACTGGGAATTGAACATGCAACTTTTTGGTGTACAGGACAGCGCTCCAACCAACTGAGCCACCCAGCCAGGGCCAGGCTATTACATCTTTGTATTCTAGCACTTAGCACAGGGCCTGGCACATGGTAGGCATTCATTGAATGTATATTTGAATAAATAAACTATGAAGATCCTTTTATATCAAGGTGGTTGGAAGTTTCATACACATCAATGAGATCTTTTAATTACTTGGCTTCTGCTGCAAGCCCTGAAGAGTCTTTGAGGCTGAGGGTGCTGTTTTTTAGGCACTTTGCATGTTTGTCATCCAAGTACATGTGTCCTGGTGTGCCAGCAGTGATGAGCACCTTACTGGCCAACATCAATGCCTACTATGCCCACACAACTGCCTCCACCAATGTCTCTGCATCTGATCGCTTTGCAGCCTCCAACTTTGGGGTGAGTGTGATGTAAAACATATCTACCCATTTGTTATCAATTAATAAAGTTTGATTTTTTAATGATCAGAACTGTAAAGTTGGTTGATGAGCCTAAAGTTCAGATAGATGCCACCTAGGTAGGTGAACTTATTTCCTCATGAGTATGCAGACTATGCTAATAGGCTCTTCTTATTTCAATATGGAAATGTGGACTTACTAATAGACTCTCCTCAGACACAGATAAATGAAAGAAAAATAGCACCACTATGGTTTGGGGGGTGCACCTGGGCTCAGGTAGAACCTTGTTAGGCCAAGAATGTGGCTGAGTCTCCATGTTTCTTAGTCTTGCAGGTCCACAAATGGAGCTTACTTAATATTACTCAGTCTCTCTCTGAGAGATTCGTACTACTTAAGTTCACATGAGACTGTTGTCTAAGCAAGGATACCAGTGTATACTGAGCCTATCCCTTTTCTAGTGTTTGGACTATTTTCTCTATTCAGTGTGTGCTCTTTCCTATGTTAAGGTACTTGAGAAGTTGAATCTTTACACAAAATGTCACCTGACATAACTTCAATATAAAGTGGATGAAATACATTTCACCCACCACAAAGATTACCTCTTTAGGCATAAAATTATGGATACCCCCAAATCTACTAGGTCTCTGAGCCCTGTTTATGGTACTAGCAACTTTTTCTTGTTATTAGAGCCTTTCTGTAGATGAATTAATATCATTGATTAAGCCAGTCAAATACTTATTTCATTCTGTCACATGCCATTATATATTGACTTAATATCTAAAGATACATAATATAATCAATATAAGAGTTCTAAGAGTGATGTGCCACACAGCCTATAGGCATGTGATTCCACATTTAATTGTACCTTTTCTATAAAAATAAACTATTAAAATAGAATGTTTTATAAACTGAGGGAAATGATGTGGGTGTGGTTTAAAGAGAAACCCACTCAAGACAACCTGATCACCTTCCATATGCATCACTCTTTCTGCCTCCCATCATTACTGCTAGGCTGTGACTATTTAACATGTTTGAGCTACCCCAAGATAAGTTAGGAGACCACAAACTCAGGAACAAGTTAGAGAATGTTTGGAGTTTCCCTTTATTTGACTAAGATGAGTTAGAGTTTCAAAGGGATGGAGGTGCACTCTCTGGTCATCTCCTGTTGACTCTTGTATAGAAAGAGCTGTTTTCCCTCCCAGGGACTTCCTTTCTACTTGTCAGTGGAGAAGATTCCTCAGTTTGAGACAGAGCTGCTAAGAGATGGAACAGGGACCATCAATTTTATTTCTTCCTTACATGTTGTTATTCTCCTCAGGAGCAGGGATGGGATATGATGTGTCCCCAGCCCGATGTCTCCTCCTCACCCAGAGATGGCTCTGTTTCTTTATAGTCTTAGGGGCTCAGAAACAGATTATTTCTCTTTTCCTTGTTATTTGTTTCCCACTCTCAGAAAGAGAGATTTGTGAAACTACTGGACCAGCTGCACAACTCCCTGAGGATTGACCTCTCTACATACAGGGTGAGTGAAGACATGGCTGTGGGGTGGGGTAACAGATAGTATTAGCTCAGTCTAGAGAGACTGCTGGCGCCAATCTTGGCTATAAAGATTGAAGGCAAGGAAAATTGGTCTGTGCCATCACACCCATGTGCATGGCCAATGCTACTGACACCTGTGGTTTTGCAAACTCCAAGGACCATGCAGTGTATAAATAGCAGCAGGTGTGGCTGCTTTTTAAAGACAATTGGCTTTCCAACCCCACTCACAGTACTCCACCAAATTCTCTGATGACATTCTAATTAGGGAGTCTCCTGAGGATAATCTCTTCCCAGAATGCCCTTTAAAAATTAGATAATTATATTTCCTTCTTGCATTATTCCATATTCTCCTCATTTTCCAGGGTAGGTGTGAGAATCCAGCTAAGGGGGAAAGAGAGAGAGAAACTTAGCTTGGGCAAGTAATTTGTAGTGCAAGTCATATCCATTCCTAGGATGGAAGGAAGAAATAGATATAGTAGGAAGGTGGGTACCTGTGATGGAGCAGGACAGAGAAATGGGCAATTTTAAAATTCTTCCTAAGTTAAATCTTAGAATGGCTTCATTACTTGCTTTAAAGTGCTGTAAATTTCCAGAACAGGCAATATACCCACATTAAAAAGAAAGTATAAAAGTAACCTTGAAGTAAAAATGAAATGAGATTTTAATTATCTGTAATTCTGAATGTCCTCCATTTGCACGAATAATGGAGAGTTGACTGTATATCTTATAGTTGGCATATAAGTAGTTATTTGAAGGTTTAACAAAGCAGCCGTTAAAATGGAGAGTGGCTCAACATCTCCTTTCAGCTGTCCCTGGCAGCTTCTTCCTAGAACATGCCAAAGAGAATGAAGTGAGGCAAGGTGGGAAGGTCCTAAGGAACTGGCTCCAAAAGCAGTTCTGCTCAGAGCTCTGCCATCTGCTGGCTCCAGAGCAGAGGAATAGCTGGGACCCACTGTACAGAAAATACAGGTCTTGGATCTCAGTCTGGTATATAGTGTGGCTATACTTATATTCCAGGATATACAGTTAGATTGTAACTTTTGAAGAACTCATTGTTTCGGTGTAAGAATCTTCACCCCAAAAAAGTGTGTGTGTGTGTGTGTGTGTGTGTGTGTGTGTGTGTGTGTGTAAATGTGTGCGTGTATCTGTGTGTTCATTTGTGCAAATGCACACACATTGCATGGGGAGTAGAGCTGGGGGTAGGAGGCGTTGCTTTCTGGGCTGGGGATTATTAACCCCTGCTTTCTGGCAAAGGCCTGTCTATGTCAATGGAAAACAGGGAGACCTGTAATATTAGAGCTTTTTTGTCCATCTCAACTAGAGAAAATTCTAGTGGGTAGCAGTTAGGAAAGCTTTTGATTTCATTGCTTCTGGAAGGGAAGGCTTTCATATTTCTCTGTTCATTTTTTACATTTGCTTGATTTACAACAGAATAATTTCCCTGCTGGGAGTCCTGAGAGGCTTCAGGACTTAAAGTCCACAGTAGATTTGCTGACCAGCATCACTTTCTTCAGGATGAAGGTAAGAAATGAACTGGTCTGGGGACCTGGCCACAGGAAAAATAAGAATCATTTGGCACAGTGTGAGGCTACAGGAATCATCACCTCTAGGCCCACGTTTCCATACATCTGTTCCCTGGGTTACTTTAGTGAAGACCATGGCTCAGCAAGGATGGGCTTGCTAGTTCTCCTCATCAGCTATCTTGGCAATTTTCAATCTAGGGCAGTTGTTCAGGAACCCATAGAGGGACGAAGGAATCAAGAGTAGTTTGGAGGTAGTTCTAGGAGGAGATCCCACCCAGGTGAGCAGGACCCTGGACCCATTTTTCTTTTAATTGGCAGGTGCAAGAACTACAGAGCCCTCCAAGAGCCAGCCAGGTGGTAAAGGATTGTGTGAAGGCCTGTTTGAACTCCACATATGAGTATATCTTCAACAACTGCCATGACTTATACAGCCACCAGTATCAGCTGGTAAGAGATTTGGGATCAGGTGGGACCAGCTATCAGTGGCTCTTGGAGCCTTAGCTTTCCTTTGCTGTGGTCTTGGTGGAAGAGAGCTCAGGACAAAGTCCTTAATGTTCTTGAGGGTGAATGAGTTTTGTAGGATTTGAACCATCTAGACTACGTGAGACATTTGTGGATGGACAGGGACCATTAGACCGCATGTGACACAACTGAGTTGAACAGAAGTGGCAACAGTAAGTTTTAGTTTGGTGCTAGAGAAAGGGCCAGAACTTGAGTAGTTTCAGAGGGTGAGTAGGCGAATTCGCAGTCCACCCTAGAGCCTTTTCCCCCGCCAAGGTTAATTTTATTCTGACTCATATGGATCCCTCTATGTTTCAGTCTGCCTTCCTTTGAGATCTGTAGCTGTCTCTCTGAGCTACTGGCTAATGGAAGTTCAACTTTTCCCTTTGACAACTTCTCTCTGCACTGTATAGTCTTTTGAGCTATATTGATCAGCTGAATATCACAGTTGACCCTGTCCTTCTGTAAGCCTAAGCTACTTCACCTGTTTTATGCTGGCATCCTAACTTAGTACCTGGGTGACTTTGTACATTTTTCTCGATCTTTCCAATAGTATCTCTTTTTTTCCTCATTTCAAAGCCAGGACCTTCTTCTGTGTCTGATTACTCACAGTTCCTGTCTTACAGTATCTTACAGACTACACATTTGCAGAATAGATTCCATTCAGTCCAACAAATTTGTATTGGGTGTTTGTTCTGGGCCAGGTCTGAAGAAAGCATAGTGCTCCTTCAGTTAGTTTACAGTCTCACGAGTATATGTATAACTCCAATCAAAACAGTTTGTTATAAGGACATTGAAAGAGAGATAAAACTGAAGGGCTTCCAAGGAGGAAGAAATCACTCTTGATCAGATATTGGGGAAAACTACTCAAAACAAGCAGCATTTGAGACAGACCTTGAAAAGCAGTCAGATTTGAACAGCAAATGATGGGAGGACAATCTAAATCTCTTAGATGTTTACCCTTTAGTGAATACACTCAATTTGTAATGCTTCTTAGGGGCACCTGCTTCCTCACATTTCCAAATATACTTTTTGTGCCAGCCCTATGTTTAAGGCTTCGTCCTTTTAAGGTTTGTAAAAATTTCTGAAGTCCATGGGAAGTTTTACTGGGGCTCTTGTTTAGCTTACCATGCTTTGGGCTTCTCTGCTATCCATCTATGGATTCTCTCTGTTTGGGGGAAGACACTGTCCTCAACTTTGATCTTTGACCTGTGCAGGGATCTGTCTGAATATTTAGTCTCTATTCCCTATGATGAGATGAACCTAGGCTTTGAAAGGGGGCTTATAAACTATTCAGGGACTTTCTTTAGCCTTTGAATTTTGCTTACTGTTTTTTTTGTGTGTTTTTTACTTTCTCATTTTTTCACTATTCATTATTTACACTGAAGTAAATCCTTGGTATCTTTTTTGATTTCCCTGTACTGATCTTCAATCATTGGTTCATTCATCCATCCATTCCTTTAACAAACTGAGCACTGGGGATGTAAAGTTGATTAAGACACATCTCTGCCTTGGGTGAACTCATTGTTTAGTGGAGTTGGAGGCAATTACTACATTTATTGTTTTTTATTATTGTTACTATGTTTTGTTGTAGTTGTAGTTGTCTGTTACATCTATACCAGAGGTTCACAGAGTGTGCTCTGGGAGCCCAGAAGAGAGGCATCTAACCAGACCAGGGTATCAGGGTAAACTTCTCAGGAAAGGTAAAGGCTCAACCTAAATTTTAAGGAATGAGTAGGAATTAAAGAAAGGAACCAGGGAGGACGGGAACACCATATAGAGGAAATAGAATGTTTGGAGGCTCAGAATTGTGAATAAAATGGCAATTTGGAGAAGTATAAGCAATTTAATTAGGGTAGTCGCAGTGTCAGGATTTGGAGTTCAGCTATCTGGGATTGAGTCTTGTTTCTGCTGTTTATAGCTACATGACCTTGAGCAAGTTATGTAACCTTACTGTCCTTCAGCCTCCTCATCTGTGAAATGAAGGTGGTGATCACTTCTACCCAATGGAGTTGTTATAAGGATTAAATTAGATAACACATGTAAAGTTCTTAGCAGAGTGCCTAGCACATAACAAGTACTAAATAAGTATTGGTAGTGATATGGTAATGGCTGCAACAGAAGAGAAATGGTAAAGTATGAATTTTAGAGAGAGGTCATAGTCTGAAGGACCTTTGCATCAAGCTATGGAGTTGGAACTTTATTGAAGGGCAGAGAATAGTGAGATTTTCCTTGCAGAAAGATTGCTGACAACTGTGTAGAAGAGGGATCTTTGAAGGTCAAAGACCAGTTAGGAGAGCCTTGAATGATAAGAGTCTGAGACAGGGTAGTGGCAGAAAATGTTAAAGGAAAAGATGTATTTCAGTGATATTAAGGAGGCATAATCTACATTCAGTGGATTCTGTCCTGGTTCCTAGTTACTTCCTGGTAATAATGCAGGCTAATTAAGGGCTGTGGAGACTTTGTGGTGACATATGGCATGCCACGTAAGAGCTCCATCCCTGTCTTCTGGGTGGTTCCAACTTTGCTTTTGTTCCAGCGGGACATAGTCATTCTGTCCTCTCTGTGGTGGCTCCTACTTGTCCTGCTGGGGTCTGAACGTAGAGTTGCTTCTCCTTTCCTGAGTGCACCATTGTGTTCCTTTAGCTCTTTCCAGTCAAGGCTCCCCCACCCCCCAGCTTTATTTAAATATAAGTGACATATAACATTGTGTAAGTTTAAGGTGAACGATGTGATGATTTGATTTTTATTACAATAAGGTTAGTTCACACAACCTCACATAATTACCTTTTTTTTGTTGTTATGGTAAGAATATTAAACCTCTACTCTCATAGCATCTTTCAAATATACAATACAGTGTTGTTAACCATAGTTACCATTCTGCACCTTAGATCCTCAGAACTTACTCATCTGTAACTGAAAGTTTGTGCCCTTTGACCAACATCTCCCATTTCTCCCACCCCTCAGCTCATGGCAACCACCATTCTACTCACTGTTTCTTTGAGTTCAATATATATATGTGAGATTATATATTCTCACCCGATTTACATTTCCACCAACAGTATTTGTCTTTTTCTCTGTCTGACTTATTTCACTTAGCATGATGTATTCAGGTTCCATACATGTTTTTATAAAGGACAAGATTTCCTTCTTTTTTTATGGCTGAATTATTCATCCTGTTTATATAACACATTTCTTTTTCCATTCATCCATCGATGGATACTTAGATTGTTTCCATGTCTTGGCTCTTGTGAATAATGCTGCAATAAACATGGGTGTGCAGATATCTCTTCAAAATAGTGATTTTATTTCCTTTGAATATATACCTAGAAGTGGGATTGCTAGATCATACGGTAGTTCTGTTTTTAATTTTTTGAGGCACCTCCATGCTGTTTTCCATAGTGGCTCTACCAGTTTACATTCCCATTGACAGTGCATCAGGGTTTCCTTTTCGCCACATCCTGGCTGGCATTTGTTATCTTTTTGGAAATTTTGATTCTAGCTGGGATGAGGTAACATCTATTGCGGTTTGGATTTGCATTTCCCTGATGATTAGTGATATTGAGTACTTCTTCAAGTACTTGTTGAGCATTTGTAAGTCATCTTTGGAGAAATGTCTATTCAAGTCTTCTGCACATTTTTTAATTTTTATTTTTTAATCCTCACCAGAGGATATTTTTTCCATTGTTTTTTCAGAAAGAGTGGGGGAGAGAGAGAGAGAAACATTGATGTGAGAGAGACACATTGATTGGTTGCCTCCCATAGGTACCCTGACTGGGGCAGGGGATCTTGCCTGCAACCGATGTAGGTGCCCTTGGCCATTACTGAATCCTGGACCCTTCAGTCCAAGGACGGACACTCTAACCACTGACCCAAACTGGCTAGGGCTGCATATTTTTTAATCAGATTTTTTTTTGCTATTGAGTTGTATGAGTTCCTTATATATTTCAAATATTACCCCTTATCAGATAAATGGTTTGCCAATATTTTGTACCATTCCATAGGTTGCCTTTTAATTTTGTTGATTGTTTCTTTTGCTGTACAGAAACTTTTTAGATTCATGTAATCCCACTTATTGATTTTTGCTGCTGTTTGTGCTTTTGATATCATCAAAAAATCTTTGCCAAGGCTGCTATCAGGAGTTTTTCCCTTGTGTTTTCTTCTAGGAGCTTTATGGTTTCAGGTCTTACATTTAAATCCTTAATCCATTCAAGTTAATTTTTGTGAGTGGTATAAGAGGGATCCAATTTCATTCTTTTGCATATGAATATCCAGTTTTCCCAACACTATTTATTAAAGAGACTATCATTTCTCCGTTGGGTATTCCTGGCTCCCCAAGGCCTTTTCTTATCCAGCTAGGCAAATAGCTTCCTAGATGTAGTTCTTCCCCCTAATCACATTCCAGAGGTTAAGGTAAGTCCTAACCCACTGAAGGTTAGGCCAACATGCATGCTAAGTCTGTTCAGTAGTTCCTACAAAATTTGAAGTAGCTTCTCAGAGCTAAGATGTATGTGTGTGTATGTATGTGTGTGTGTGTGTGTGTGTTGGAGGGAGCAGTCAGAGGAGGGCTGCTTGTGTGGGTCACATGCAACTAGACCTACTTAGTGAGACTGGAGGAGTCACAATACATATAGCTTCTGAGGAAGGGGGACAGACATCTTGATGTCTCCAAGACTGACCGAGTTTATTAGATCAGTGGCGTGGGAGCCGGGGAGAGAAATTTTCAGGGATGAACTCTTTGTATCCAAGGACCTCCCAGTAGTCACCTCTGACATTACAGGTGTGGTTTTGTGAAAGACAGACTCTAGAAGCGTAGGTGATTCTAGAGGAAGGAGCTTTGGGAAGTGAAAGAAAGAGGAAGATTAGAGACACTCTTCACATTCTACTCTAACTCTCACTGTCTGTAACTATCTCTTCTGGAACAAGAAGCAAGAACTACCTGCAGAGGAACAAGGGCCCAGCATTCGGAATCTGGATTTCTGGCCCAAACTCATCACACTCATTGTGTCAATCATAGAGGAAGATAAGAATTCCTACACACTAGTTCTGAACCAGTGAGTATTGCCCCACTTGGCTCTGTCTGGTAGGTGGTTGGTTTGTCCATCTGTCTAACACCTCTTTCTTTCCTATCTCTATGTGTTTGCAGTGCCACCTCTTCCTCCTGTCCGTCCGTCTGTCCCTCTGTCCCTTGTATCTGTCTGGGTAGCTGTTTCTGGAGACAGGTGTGGAAACATAATGGGGGGCCCTGCCCAGACTGCACCAGCCTCCCTGGAGTGAGAGGCCTCTGGGAATAGGAGTCCCAGGGAATCCAGAGACCATGTGTGTATGTGTCTGTCTGCTGTGAATAAAGTGGGCCACCTTATAGCCCACCTCTTACCCTTTCTCCTCCAGTTTATTTAGTCTGGGCCTGCCTTTCAGCCTCAACTCCTCCTCTGGGCCTCACTTCCCTGCCTTTTGGGCATCCTTCCCTGGGCCCTCTTTGCCTGAGGGGATTCTCTGCCCCCACTTGTCCTACCACTGGCCCCTAATCCCCCTTTCTGCAGATTGAGCCTACCCCTGTTTCCTAGGCTTCTCCTCTCTTCAATAGGACCTCTAGAACTAGGAACATTAGCCTTGGGATAACTCAAATCAAATGATTCTTGCCTTGTTTTTTGACTGTGGCTCCTTCCATCATCCAGGTTTCCTCAGGAGCTGAATGTGGGAAAAGTCAGCGCAGAAGTGATGTGGCAACTTTTTGCCCAAGACATGAAATACGCACTGGAGGGTAAGGGTGTGCCCAAGGCAGTGAGCCACAGGTCCCTTGTCCAAGCACCTGGTTTGCTGTCTCTTTCCTCTCCTAGACAACTGCAAGTTCAGGGGGAATGGTATAGCAAGAAATTAGAAGGATTTCAAGCATAGTGAATGATAGGCCTCAAGAGGTCTTGGGTGGACAAATCTTCAGCCAAAAGAATAATGTAAATGGCAGTGTTGATGTAGGTTCTTTCCTCCAGCTTTAGAGCAAGTGCCTGTTTAAGACTTCCCCAGCCCAAAAATCAGCTCCTCCCATTGGGTGTTCACAAGTGGCCCACTCCCTGGAGAAGTAGACTCTTAAATACATAGATAAGATTATTTTCTCACACTGAGGACTGCCTGGCCTGGCTTTCCTTGAAAACTTCTGGGTTGGTGTGACAAAGCACACACAATTGGCTTTAATTATTCAAATTAATGCTTCATCTATAAAGGGGGTAGATGATGAGAACTTGTGATTATGGCCACTGCTCCAGACTCTCTGGGCAAGCTATAGGTGCTCTTTGTCCTAGATTTTCTGGAACCCTCTCGAGATTCAGCTGGAGATTATGGACCCTTTCAAGTCCATAATGAGAATCCCATTTTCTATAACACGATCGCCCTTTCATCTGGCTGTGTTTCCATGGTTTCTAAACTGACTATTCTTATTTGCAAACTTCTTTGAGAGTTCATTTTTCCGTGTCTCAGCTCTGCTCTGGGGCCCCTCGGTTTATGTCAATATTCTGTTGCACCATGGCTGCTCAAGTGCAGTTTCTATCAGCTTGGGTCCACTTTGGTTTTCCCTGTCTCTGTGTGTTGTCATTGACCCATTCATGTCGTGTACAGCTGCTCATCTGTGCATTTTTAAGCCTGTATTTAAGCTACTAGGATTATAAAAACTGACATCCCTCTCCAGTCCTGGACAGTCTCCCCACCAATCAGCATTAGCTCCCACATTCTTTTCTCATCTTCACCAGAGGCCAGTACCTCACTTGGCACTTCCAAAAGCCAGAGCAGGAAGACTATAGGCCTAATCTGGGAGTTTGGCTTAGTCTCTAAAGGAAGATTTAGGCCAGGCTCTTAGAGAGCAGAGTACTCACTGGTGGGGGGAAGATGGCTGTGAGGAGGTGGATGGGAGTCACCCTTTTTATAAGACATCTGATAGAGCTGCCTGACTGGTTCTGCTGCCTTGGAAAAACTCAGGAACCAGGGTCTCTACTGCAAGGACCTGACCCAGCCTCCTTCCCTAACTAGAGCATGAGAAAGACCGGCTGTGTAAGAGTGCTGACTACATGAACCTACACTTCAAGGTGAAGTGGCTCCACAATGAATATGTACGGGATCTGCCTGTCTTCCAGGGGCAGGTGCCGGAATACCCAGCGTGAGTCATCAAGTGGGCACTACGGAGGGAAGGGAAGAGGGTCCCTCTGGCTTAGGGGGTGGGCAGGACCAGTATCCTCAATTTGGTTCAGCAAGCCAGTCTTGAGACCTCCTTTTCTGGGCACTGCTGTAGAAAAAGAAAAGTGTCAAACCATGCCCTACTTCCCAGAAGATTCCAGTCTGGGGAAGCTGTCAGGCATGAGGCATATGCTAACAACTAGCTCCAGCCCCCAGCCCCCAGTTCTCTTTCCTGGCTGCAGGTGGTTTGAGCAGTTTGTCCTACAATGGCTGGATGAGAATGAGGATGTATCCCTGGAATTCCTGCATGGGGCGCTGGAACGAGATAAGAAGGATGGGGTAAGTCAGGGCCTTGGGCTGCACAGGGCTGAGGCCAGCAATTAGCTGTTAGCAAATGTTCCTGGGCTTTAGATAGATTGGCTGTTCCTGCCCTGTGGAGTCCATAAGGAGGGCTGTTGAAGGTCACTGAGCCACCCCTGTTGGGAAGAGCCTTTTTGAGCCCTGTGAACTTGGAGAAAGGTAGTGGCTGAAGATGCTGACCCTGTATGTCCCCTTCCTTAGTTCCAGCAGACATCAGAGCACGCACTCTTTTCCTGCTCTGTGGTGGACGTCTTCACACAGCTCAACCAGAGCTTTGAGATCATCCGAAAGCTGGAATGCCCAGATCCCAACATCCTTGCCCACTACATGAGGAGATTTGCTAAGGTGACCATGACCCTCCCTTTACTACCACAATACTCACAGCCTAGTCACAGGCCTGAGCTCAGTTCTTCTTCGTGGTGGCCTTCCGGTGAAACCTGGGGTTACCCCATTCTCCTTTATTTGTGTCTAGGGCAGACAGATGGGTTTGTTTCAGTGCTGTTCTGGTGTTGAGAGGGAGCTTTCTGTGAGATTCTACTTTGTTTCTATGGTGTATTGTTCTAGGATGAGAGGTGTGACCTCTCAGGCAAGATCCTCGTGGGGAGAGCTAAGGATTCCCTCTCCTTTCCTCCTCTTTTCTCAGACCATCGGGAAGGTGCTGATGCAGTATGCAGATATCTTATCAAAGAGCTTCCCAGCTTATTGCACAAAGGAGAAAATGGTGAGGATCGGGCCTTGGGACCCTTGGAGAAGGGAGTGGAAGACACCTGAATTCTTACTTTTGAAGCTGTCTCTAGAGCTGAGGGTGGGATGATGTCCCTGACTTCTGATTCCCAGCAGGGCTTCACTTGAGATTGTGCCACAGAATAAGAACTTGACCAGGAGTTCCTCTGAGCCTCCATTTGGTTCTTTATCCTCTACTAAGCTAGACCTTTGCTTGTCTCTTTTTAATTAAAAAAGGTTGAAAGATTCAAGGAGTTATAAAGGATAACTCCATGAACACCTGGGACCCACCACCCTGCTTAAAAACAGAAACATTTGCTTCTAGCCTTCGTTTACGGAGAATTGTCTGAATTGGTTCCAGATCTCAGTGCTTAGGGACAGACACATGTAATACCTGTTGTAAATACCCTGTGGCTTTTGGACTAGTGTGAGAGAGGGAGGAACCCTAGGCTGATGGGTCCTGTGCTAAAAGGAGCCAAGACTCAGCAGCTCCATCTGTCCCCAAAGCCCTGCATTCTGATGAACAACATGCAGCAACTGAGGGTCCAGCTGGAGAAAATGTTTGAGGCCATGGGAGGCAAGGAGGTAGGTCTTAGGGTTTGGGGTTGCTGTACTTTCCCTTTGTTCCTGAGCTCTCTGACCACAGAACTCTACCCTTTCCTGACTGGGTATAGGCCAGGAGTTTAGCCTGGGGTCTGGGCTGGCTTGGGCTGAGAGATTTGAGTAGGTGTTGGGGTAAAGGCCCAAGGAGGGAGCAGTGGGGGCACAGGAGGGGAGAAAAGGGTAAGAGAACCAGCTTAGCCAAGCCCACCTTCTGTGGATACAGTTGGACCCTGAAGCTGCAGACAGTCTGAAGGAGCTGCAGGTGAAACTGAATACAGTTTTGGATGAGCTCAGCATGGTGTTTGGAAACAGGTCAGTGGCCCCAAAACACACAGCCCTCAGAGCCAGATGTGGTCCCTGATGAATCCCAGATCCCCTGCCCCATACTCATTTATCCAGCTGCAGGTGTGTGGATCTTCCCACTCCTCCTCTTGGCTCTCTCTGCTGGAGCTGCACCATGAATGTTCTGGAGTAGGATTGAATAGCTGGTGCTGCTCCAGGGACAGTGTTTGTTTGGGAAGGAGAGGGCTGCACTATGGGCACATGTGTAGTTTCCAGGTGCGGATTGATGAGTGCATTAAACAAATGGCCGACATCCTGGGCCAGGTGCGGGGCCCAGGGAATGCATCACCCAACGCCAGGGCCTCAGTGGCTCAGGATGCAGATAGCGTGCTCCGACCTCTCATGGACTTCCTGGATGGCAAGTGAGTACAGTACTCAGGATTTTCCTCTGGGACAAGTAAGGCAGAGGCAATCAGACAGAGGAGCCTCTCAGGGAGGGGGGTTCTCACTCACCCACCACAGCCTTACCTGTTGCCTGGGCCTACAGCCTCACTCTCTTTGCCACCGTGTGTGAGAAGACGGTTCTGAAGCGTGTACTAAAGGAGCTCTGGCGGGTGGTCATGAACACAATGGAAAGGATGATTGTTCTGCCTCCACTCACTGACCACACAGTAAGGATACTTCCCTTCAACTTCCTTCTGCTGTCTCCCTTACCTCGCTCCATACATCCTGATCGAATCTGGAGTCTTTTTCTTTTGACTAATTCCCTCTCTGCCCAGGGAACCCAGCTGATCTTCACTGCTGCCAAGGAGCTGAGCCATCTTTCCAAACTCAAGGTACTCTAGATATGTGGGGTCCTTCTGAAGCCAGTGGTGAAGAAAGGGGCTTGCCTGTAAGGAAGGAAATTCAAGCATTAGAGACTGAAGAGGAGGGAAAGGAGAGAACCTGTAGCTGTGGGTTGGCAGGTAAGGGCAAGATTTTCATGACAGCCCCAAGCTGTCTTGACGCTGTTGCTCTCTCTGTGATTCCAGGACCACATGGTGCGAGAAGAAACACGGAGTCTTACTCCAAAGCAGTGTGCAGTCCTTGACCTCGCCCTGGACACCATCAAGGTGGAGACCTCCCCTGCCTCCAGACAGTCTTACTACCATGCCCTCTTGGCCCTGGCATTTCACTCTGCCAGACTAGGTTTCCCTCAGGCTCTTGCCACCCCACATCAGAAGAGTGATTTTTATGTCTGATTCTTTCTATGCTATGTCTGTATTCCTACTTGGATCAACCAGAAAGGCACCTCCTGTGTGGTCTCAGGTGACTCACCATTGACCTAGAATACTGGGTTCTGAATTGCACACATTCTGTTTACTTGTGTCTTCATTGCCATTCCTGAGTATTTTCCACTGGGAATTAATAATACTCCAGATTTGGCTGACCTTTCCCTCTTTCACTTATAAAGTCATTTGGGTTTTCAAAGGATTTTTTCCTACTACCCATTTATTTATTCAACGAGGCAACATGCACCAGGCACTATGTACTGTGAAGGATACAGAGAGAATCAGATATGGTTCCTAGCCTCAAGTTGTTTATAATCCGGTAAGGAGGTAATAAGGCAGATACATAAGAACTGTGATTCAGGGCACTTGGGAGAGGTATATCATAGGTATAAAGTTCTTTAAGAATTCAGAGGGGTAAAAGAGCACCTCTGGCCACTCTCTGCCTGAAATCCTTCTACCCATATCTTGGCTTGTCCAGAAAGAACCATCCTTCAGAACCACAGTCCAGTAACATGGCCATCCGCTACCCTTCCTGCCAGATACTTAAATAATCTCTTCACCTGAGAGACTGTGACTCTGCTGTATGGTATTCCTGATCTTGTTATTTATTGAATGACTTGTCCTCACCATCCTCTTTTGGGATCTTCATTGAGCCTCTGTTCAGATGTCATTTCTCTGAGGACAGTGTTGGGGAGCTGCCTTTCTGTAAGGGGATAAGGCAGTAGCAAGTACTCTTTTGTCTTTCAGCAATACTTTCATGCAGGAGGCAATGGACTGAAGAAAACCTTCCTGGAGAAGAGCCCAGATTTACAGTCCCTACGCTATGCCCTGTCTCTGTACACACAGACCACAGATACACTCATCAAGACCTTTGTGCGCTCACAGACAGCCCAGGGTAAGGCCTAAGGGCTTTGGGTTTCCACCTCCCTTTCCTGATATGTCTCTGCCCCTAGGGAGTCAGTGTCCTCTAGCCCTTAGGGAGGATCCAGATACTTCTTCATAGATCCCTTCAAACTCAGACCCCAGGACTTCTTGAGGGACCCCAGTAATTACCCCCGCCCCATACCCATACCAGACAGGAGAATCACAGGGACCTGGAAAATATGCCTGGAAAATTTTTCCCATACATTGCCTGGCCAGTGCATGTTTATTGAGCTCAAATAGTATACCCTGTTTGGTAGGGAAAAACTGAGGAAGCCTGGAGAAAGTGGTTGAGACACTCATGACTCATAGCTTTGGGAACCTTTGTTGGAGGTTGTCCTGGGGATAGAAAGCAAAAGACTTTCCAGATTCTCCAGCATAGACCAGAAGAAGAGAGGCAGACCATGGGAGCAGCTGAAGGAATGGTGCAGATCCTATGCATAGCTGAGCTCCAGCCTCATGGGTGATGCTAATGCACAGGAGACCCAGGCAGCTGGTTTTCTCCCAATGACTTCCAGTCCTCAGAACCCCTCCCTGCATCCAGTCAGGCCTATCCATAACAAAACACATCTGCATAGACATGGCTAAATTAAAACCCTGGCCCTGGAACAGTGCCCTCCCAGGAAGGACCTTCAGGTGTATTTGTTATTGCTTGTTCCAAGGAAACCTGGGCATGCTTCCTTGAGGAGTGAAGCTAGTAGAGGAGGAAGTGGGAAGGCTTAGGCCTTACTGAGCTCTGGGTCCAGAGTATAGAGCTGACCTGAAGAGGAAGAAGAATCTAAGCAGTTAATCTGGATTTTATGGAAAGTGAAAGGAAACACAAGACCTGCACTACTCCATTTTCCACATCTGTTCTTATTTCAAGGGTGGGAAGAAGAGAGAGCAAAATAAGTTATGAACCTTTCTTAAGGGGGCAGAGAAAACATGTACAGAGCTGAGTACATGTAAAGGCCTATAATAGAGAGGATCTGAATTAATCCAGAAATGCTTTTTAGAAACATTGAGCTTTAAGCTAAATATAAAGATGCGAGGCTAGAATGGGCAGATACAAGGTAAGAGCAGATAATGAAGCAAGGGCAGAAGTAGGGACTGCAGGGAGGATCCAAGTTTATATTTTTCTACACATTGCTTTATTACTTAAGAGCCTAGGAAATTAGAGCCTATAATCTTTTACTTTCGTGCCCCATTGGTCTTAGATATCTTTGCTCTCTATATGTTCTACTGCATCTCCCATGATTTGATTGATCTTCAACCCATGAAATCTAATTTGGAGCATTCAGGCACTGACCCAGCTTTTTGACTTCTCTCTCCACCCTACCCCATCTCTGTGTTCCCTCAGAATGTGTGTAGAGCTGCTCTGAGTGGCTGTTAACTCCTTAGAACACTAACTGATTCTTCTTTCTCTGTCCTCCTGCTGCTACTACCTCTTGACTTTCCTGTCCTCACTCAGTGCATGATGGGAAAGGTATTAGGTTTACTGCTAATGAGGACATTCGGCCGGAAAAGGGTATGTTATACACCATGCAAATATGAATCTAGCATGGGCAAACACTGTCCCCTGTGAACTAGAATGAGCTGCTTATTTGGGGAGTTGGGGAGCTAGGTGTCAAAAGTTCAGAAGCTCTATTACAAGTCTCAGAGATGGGCATTGTATTCTTATAGTCTGGGACAGGGTTAACAATAGTTCTGTCCTCAGAATTCCCCCTCCCCTTCACCGTAGGACAAAGAAGTTTTATCTGGGGTGCAGGGTACTGGTGTTTTTTCAAAACAGAGTGAGGCCTCTGCTGGGGGGAACCTGCAAACTGGCCAGACATTGGGATTGGGGAGCTGTTTGTGGAGAGGTCCAAATTTGAGTAGGATAAAGTCTTTCTAAGCAGAGCAGCCTCCCAAGCAGGGGCCTCCAGGAATGCAGGGATAGGTGGGAGGTTGCTACTTTTGGCTAAAAGGGATCTACATTGTTCCATTAAGACCATGGGGTGGACATAGTTTCCAGACAAAGACATGGAGTGGCAGTACTGTCCTTTCCCAACATCTTTCAATGAAAAATTCTGCAGTCTAGGAGATAAGAGAGATTTGAGAAACCTGATATTCCTGATGCATTTTTGAAAGAAATTTTGCCTAACATCTTGTCAGCCTAACTTGTATTTTAATACATAGCCTCATTCTTTATCCCTTTTTATTCACTTCTCCCCTGCTTACTTTCCCATGGCTATTGTGGGTGACTGCTTCTTGCTTTAGGGTGTAGGGTGGTGGCCTCCTAACTCCTCAGTTTATCTGGAACAATTAGGCATAAAGTCTTCTTCAGTGGGGGATCATCTGTCCATCTGTCCCTCAGGGTCTGGTGTGGATGATCCTGTTGGAGAAGTCTCTATTCAGGTGGACTTGTTTACACATCCTGGAACTGGAGAGCACAAGGTCACAGTGAAAGGTCAGTGGCATGGACTTAAAGGTCTCAGTGGCCTCATCAGTTAAAAGCAAGGGCTGCTTAACCCAGCCCTCTAGCTTAGCCCTCTTCCATGGGGAATGCCACCTGGGGCTCAAGAACTGGGAACACTTGGTGGGATCCCTCACAAGTTTTCCTTGTTTGGGCAGTGGTGGCTGCCAATGACCTCAAGTGGCAGACAGCGGGTATGTTCCGACCCTTTGTGGAAGTGACCATGGTTGGCCCACATCAAAGTGATAAGAAGAGGAAGTTCACAACCAAGTCAAAAAGCAACAACTGGGCCCCCAAGTACAATGAGACATTTCACTTGTAAGTTATTGGATGGGGAATCTGTAGGACTGTGGGATGGGGGTGAACTGGGAGATAAGACTTCAGAGGGGAGAGGAGGGATGGGCTGAATGCAAGCTGGGGCGAATTCAGTTGATTCCCTCATTTCTGGCCTTCTACCTTCCACTTACCCTGTGCTCACAGCCTCCTGGGAAATGAAGAGGGACCAGAAGCCTATGAGTTGCAAATATGTGTGAAAGATTACTGCTTTGCCCGCGAGGATCGCGTTCTAGGGCTGGCTGTGATGCCTCTGAGGGATGTGGCAGCCAAGGGCAGCTGTGCCTGCTGGTGCCCCTTGGGCCGGAAGATCCACATGGATGAGACAGGCATGACCATTCTCCGGATTCTGTCTCAGAGGAGCAATGATGAAGTGGCTCGGGAGTTTGTGAAGCTCAAATCGGAGTCTCGTTCCATGGAGGAGGGGAGCTGAGCACCTGAGCTCCTGTGCCAGATGGCACCATTTCTACAATTCAGGGCCAGTGGGATTTACTGTGTAGCCAGCTTAGGTCCTCAAGTTAAGAGACTAACTCCTTCAGTTAAAGAAATTTAAGGAAAATTTGGGGGTGGTGAGAGTTTTACTTTTCACAGAAAGGGTTGTGAATCCCTGAACAACAGGTCTGTGGTGCTAGGAGCTGAGCTGTGGTGTTACTGCATAGGGAGATTTTTCACAGAGAGGGACAGATATTTCTGAGAGTGTCAGCCATTCTCGGTAGAGACAACTCCACTCTACACCCCATGTCTACCCCTCTCCATACGACACCTTATCCAGTCAGACACCTATGTACCAATCATTAGGAGAACAAGTTTAGAGGGCCAGGAGCTTGTGCCTGGCTAGCTCAGTAGTCAGCTGAGCCTATAGGTATCACAGAGCCCTGTGGTCTGGATTGAAGTATAGCCAGGGCAGGAGCACACATAATAGAATTCAGACTGTCCCTTGAGCAGAATCCACTGGTTTTGTATGGCTCCAGTGAGAACAAGGCTTTGAAACTGAACAAGATACCTTCTAGAAATGAGCTATGCTAATCCCTTACCCAGTTTATATCTGTTGTGAGCAGAAGCAGGTTCATATGGTGCTTCAGAGCCTTGAGCAGAATATCCTTTGGAACCCAAACGCCAGAGACTGCTTTCCCAGGAGTCCCTCTACCTCACTCCTGTCGGAAGGAGAGTGATGCTTCAGGACAGTGAAAGGCTGTTATTATGTGTATGCATCTGAGGGCTAGTTGAAGGATCCAGGAGAGAGGACTGTATTTTTTTCTTGGGTAGGCCCCGAACAAAGCCAAAAATTTTGGAAATTAGTCTAGGAGTCCTTCTCACTTATGGCCACTGCCTTCTCACTGTCCTCTCCCTGTAGAAAGAATCTAGCCTTTGACCTCACTCCCTTTCATTAGGTCAGCTGCTGATCCCCTCATAGATGTTCAGTCCTCCAGAAGAAGCTTGGACTATGATCCCTCTGTACAGGCTGGATGGTAGGGAGGGCCTCAACACTCCTTGGGAGGTCAAAGACAAATTCTTTCAAGGGGTCATGTGGACTTCCCAGGCCTTTGCTCAGAGATGTGACATGGTCCTTTAATATCCTTGGTAACAGCCTCCTGGACTTTCTGAGGACTCTGCATTGTCCACAGCTGTACTGGCCATTACATTAAACAAGAAACTAAGCATCTTTGCTGTTGTTAATTATTGTATGTGCCATTGTTGCAGGAGATTATTGGCTAGTCTGTAATAAATCATCTTATAGGAGCCTTTGGGGTCTTGTAATTCTGCTAAAGTGTGGAAAGCTGTAAAAATGACTATCCTATATAATGGTATATTTTGGACCAGTGGCCTTTGCTGCTCTTCCCACTGCACCCCTCCCAGTCATACTCCCTAGTCCCCCTACCCTTGTAAGTGGTGGAGCCCAAAGCAACTCTGGATAAGCACTAAACAGTAAAGCAGCCAATGTGCTGGCATCTTGGCCTTGACCTGAGACCAATCAGTCCAGTTAACAGAATCATGGGATCCAGGGCATCAGCTTCCTACAAAAAGTCCAGGAAAGTAGGAGATGACATGTGTCAGTGAAAACTAGGCCATGCTATGTCTTTCCTTTTCTAGAATCATGAGGCTTTTGTTTTAGGACAGACAAGCCTGGGCCATAAGGACAAGGCAGGGGCCTACTGGGGAAAGATGTGTCTGCAGAGGTTGGTGGATGCCCGAGGCTGCTATGTATAGGACAGAAGTGTAGGCCTAGGAGTGCACAGTGGCCTTTCATGCAGGGAAATTCAAGGAGGAAGAGCTAGAGTAGAAAGTCTACTCCCAACAGGGAGGAAACAAGGTAAAAGTGAGGCCTCCTGGCATGGGAATCAGAGAAGCTGAAGCAAGAAAGTGCTCACCTGCTCCCAACTTGCACTGTTGCCACTTATGGGGGGAACTGAGTGAGGGCACAGATCAGGGAACTAACTGGTCCCTCCCAGTTTCTTATTCCCATTTGCTTACTAAATAAATCCTTACAATTCAGTTGCCCGATCATTTTTAAACTTCTTCCTTTCCCAAACCAGTTGCCTATCATTTCTGTCTCAAATGTACCTTTTGAATCCATTGTCTGACCTCAGTTCCCAATACCACAAGTGGAGTGGTGGCTTGTAGTTCTTGTCTGGATTACTGATAATCATCTGCCTCCATTCTGCCCCTGCCCTCTTCACACACTTTGGTCAGTCTCTTTCCTGATAAGCTATTCAGAGTTACCTATCATAGTCTTTAGGCTGAAACTCCAAGACCCTTCAGGACAAGCACAGGCACCCCTCACCGTCCTGCAGCTCTTCTAAAGCACTTCCTTTGCAGTGCCGTCATCATTGTCCATCCCCCTCCACACACACACACACAGAGCACTCCTATCCCCTCGCTGGAATATCCGCAGCCTTTTCCTTCCACTACCTTCTAGGTTCTGACATCTTGGCTGCCTTTAGTACCCAACCAACCCTGGACACCCTCCCCACAACACTCTACATTGTTATAATTTACTTGTCTGGCTGCCCCCATCACCCAGGATCTACACAAAGGCGGAGTCTGAGTATTTCATCTCCCTTCCCTATCCGCCAGCACAGAGAGGGTGCCTAGGAACTTCAGAGGAAGGCCAGCTCCTGCAGCTGTCCGGAAATCCTGTGAGAAAGGGGGCGTAGCTGGAGGAGGGCTTGTGGGAAAGGGGCGTGGTTGGAGGCCAGGCCCTTCCGGCTGGAACCTGGGGCTCCACAGCGCGCCTGCGCAGGAAGGTGCGTTAAGATGGACGTCGCTGGAGTTGACTCCTGCATGGCGATGGTGAGCAAGAGGTCCCCGAAGGTGGCTCCGGAGGAGGGGTTATTGCCTTCCCCCTCCCAACACTGAAGACTCTGTCCCCATACTGCCTGACATCGGTACCTCTCTGGGAACTTTCCAGTACCCGTCCGTCCTCCTCCTTGTAAACTGTTCTCCCAGTGCTCCCCGAGGTTACTTCCCTCTCCCCATACTCGAATATACAGGTTTTCCACACACTCTAGGGAAGATATATCTGCCCAGATACTTGGCAGAGAGGATCTTTATACCACAAATATCTTCCAAAGGCCACCCGTTTTATCCAGTTACCTCATAGAACAAGCCCCCAGATGAGGCACATTAACTCAGGGAGTTTTGTCTCCTTTTCCAGCACGATCCAGATTCTCTGAGAAGAAGGCGTAAAACTTATACCGCATTTGACTTGAAAGTGACACATTTGCTGTCATTCCTTTTTCATATGGGTCAAGGGACCTATACCATAAGGAAAAGTCAAACTCTGGCTACTCGTGGTTAACAGGCTTGCAGATTTGACTTGGTAGCTAACTTTTTAAAACCAGATATATCACATTTTAAAATGCAGATTTTTAGCTTTTTGTAAAATTGGATCTATTAACCTTTAGCTCACATTCTCACAAAATGACAGGTGGTTGGAGCCGAGAAGCAACTGGTAAATTAGTTTATTATAGTTCATTATAGACTACATTACTCCTTATTTTCTTATGTGTACTAAGTTTTACAATTATTTGCCTGTTACCTGGTAGGCATTTGAGTTTGTGATCCCTGATGTAGGACTTTGGGTAATATCTGCATCAATACTTTGAGCTCTTAATAGAAACTGAAATACAGAGAGGCTGGATTTGTGTTTAGGTTGTCTCTTGGTTTCTGTAATGCTCTGATTAGGATCAGAGATCATCCTAGTAGCGAAAACCAGAGTGAAATCTATACTAAAGGTTTTTGTTTTATTAAATAAGAGAATTCAACCAAAATATCTGTAGGTTGTTCCCTGGTACATTTGATCTTGAAGAAATCCACTGTGTTAACACCTCTCTGGTGGGGTGGGGTCAAGGACAAAGTATTGTTTCTTTTTGAACTGGTTATAAAAAGGCCTGACTCTGGTCTATACTGAATGATGTCTCAAAGGTGATGCCTCCTTTGTGCCAGAACACACAGATGGTAACCTTCCTCTCTGAGGGAAATAACAAGTCTCATAATATCAAGAGTGGGAGTGTTCTGCAGGCTGTATCTAATCAGAAATAGAACAGGACCTTTCATAGTATATTTTTAAAGAAGCAAAAATCACTTCTTTGAGCATAAGTGTATTACCCACCTATTTATTGTGAGTATTTGGACTAGCTCCCTGAATGAACCTACCATACCTAGAAGCAGAGTGGCAAAGCTGAAGAAGCAATATGGAATAGTGAAGATGGTATAATACCATGAGTACTAGTCTCAGCTCTGCTACATACTAGTCAGGGTTCCTTGACCTTTAATTTCTCAAAGGCTATTTCTTGCATCTGTTAAACAGACTAATAATTCCTGCCATGTTTACCTCAGAGGAATCAAATGGGCTCATTTAAATGTGAAAGAACTTTGAAAACTACATTTTCTCTAAGTGTGTAAGGGATTATTATCATTATTGTCATTATTAATAACATTCTGAGTTCTGATTAACTTCCAAGGAATTTGCCTTGCTGCTTCCTGGTTCAAAATCAACAGATATTTCCTGAGTACATCCTTTGTTCCAGGTACTCATCTAGGCATGGAACCTATCATTGAACAAAACAAAAACCCCTGTATAAATTTAGGAGTGAGTTATCAGCATACTGAGTGCCTACTAAGTACCCAGTGCCATCTAATAGCATGGTGAAGTAGTAGGAAGAATCTAGATTATGGACTTAAGTCTGCCACTATATAACTGTGAGAGACTCTTTCCCTATGTGAGCCGGAACTTCCCCATCTGTAAAATAAGGAGGTTATACAAGGTAAACCCTAAGATTCATTTCAGATAAAATATGTTTCTTTAGAGATTATAATTGCTAAAGTTCCCTACCCATAAGGAGTTATTGCACTGCTGGGGTGGTCAGACTAACAAAACTGAACAGTCATAGAACTTCAAGGACAACAGAGTGCTAATGTCACACTAGCTTCAGCACCATAGTGGTTACAGTAGTTTTCTCTGTGGGTAATGGAGTATGTAGAAAGACTTCCTGGAAGGATGGGAAGCTTTGAAATAGAGGAAAGTAAGGAAGCTCTATTGTGGATATTGGAAATTGAATTAATTGAAGTGCAGAGGAGAAGGACATGCCATTTATTGTTGACCTAGTGTAACAGTCAGAATCCTCTCAGAAAAACAATGCATTCAAATGTGTTTAACTGAAAAGAGTTTAACCAAAGGGCTATTTACAGAGGTAGTCAGTATTAAAAGAACTAGAATGGAATGATGAAACACGACAGTGGCAAATCAGTAGCACTCCTCAGCCTGAAGGGAAAGGGGCTCTGTTGTTACCAGAACCTAGCTAGAGCTACAGTCTAAAAGAGCTGTGGCCATGAGTGCTAAGAAGCCACTGTAAGAACTTAAGGCAGAGATGAAGCAGAAAAGTAAATGCCCTAACCTTTCTTTCCTTCTGACCTCCAGTCTTCAGCTAGTATCTTCCATTGGTAAAACCCAAACAGAAGCCCATGGGCAAGGTAATATGGGTGATGTAGTTTATAGAGGTCAGCATCCCAGGACAGCACAGAGTGAATTGGGCAGGAGACACAGCAAACAGATTAACCAGCAAACACGGTATCAAGGGAAGGAAAAGACACAACTATGGACTTTTCCCTTTCTGTTTAAATTTAGGATCTACTCTAAGGATTAGTCTCCTTAGCTGTGAAGTGAGGATAGTAATACCTTTGTCCCAAGGTGATTGTGAGGATTCTGATATGAGATATGAAGGTGCTCAGTACAAGACCTGATACATACTAGAGGCTCAATATATTTTAGTTCCTTTCTTCCTTTCTGTACATGCCTAAATGACTCCTTGGCCAAAATACTTTTTCCAGTCAAGGTCTTAATGTGTGACTGGAACTGAGTTAATGAAGTTAGAATAGTAGGAGGTAAAGTCAGAACATGTAGGTCCTTCTAGCCCATTGTAGTGACCGGCCTTAAACAGGAGTATAGTAGGAAGTCATTGGAAAGTTCTCCAGGATTGTGTGACTTCTGACATCAGGGTTTCTATCATTCACTAGGGTATCACTTGTTTGTTCATTCAAAAATAATTTATTTAGAACATACTACACATTGATATATAAGCCCTGCCCTCGAAGTGTGGTCTTATGAAGGAGACAGACAATTTCAATTTCAATGTTAGGATATGAGTGAACATAGAATGTACCATGGGAGCTCATAGTAAGGACATCTGGCCCATTCTTGGGGCACCTTAAAAGGCATCCTGAGGAAGACAATGTAA